GGTTATTTCGCAGAAACTTGTTGTTCCTTTGGCTTTCCGCGGAAGGTTTCAAAGTGTAGCAGCAACGTCATTTATTATTCGGTGGATTCTAATCTTTATTCATGTTGTGGTACAGTAAAACAAAAGCCTACTTCCTCACTGTAACAAAGAAGCAGGATATCTTTCAACTACGACCGAAGAAGACATCCTAAAACGGCGAGAAAGTAGGTATCTACGGCTAATAGTCACGACAGACACCAAAAATAGCTGTATACGCGCGAGTGCTTTCCTTCAGCACCGGTCCTGAGCTCCCTAAAAAAAAAACAGGGATCAAGCTTTGTGAGCTTCACATAAGACCCACACGTCGGCCAAAATATACGAACGTAATAGATCAGATCTATGTTGACGTTAACATAAGCTCGATCCGGTGTCGAGAGACTCAGTTGCACCGCTGTTGACGTTTAACTTCTGAAAATCGCTGAACGCTGTCAGACTGTGGAAATCTGCATTGCATCAGAAAATTTTGATTCCAACCTGGGTTTGGAAAATTTGTTTGGCTTCCTGAGAGCGACCGTTTACACGACCTTTGGAATGCAATTTCGGAAGAAAACCACGATTTTACTCAACACAGGATTATAAAACTATTTCAAGCTGACTGATAGGGCTTCCATGACCGCTGAAATCTGGATTAACAATTAAGTCCAGACTTCATGGTGCCATGGAAGCTAGGCTGATGACGCAGTGCGCCTACCGGTGATCGCCTACTGACGTGATGCTGGCGCTCTGCGTGTGGCCAAAAAGATATTCCGAAAACCAGGTAGTGTCAATATCGTGCTAGCTGAGCGTCGACGGATGGTTTGGCCGGCCGGTCACAGCGAACATTTGCTCATGTCTGGCGGACATACGAGTTATATTTTCCCACGGTCATTCGCGGATGGGATTTGGTAGGATATGAACTACGCTGCTTGTGTATGCGGCATTGCAAAATATACGCAGCCGCATTGATCCACATCGGACGTATGTGTCCGGTACAGAGCGAGCAAGCCTGCTTCATAGGGTGAACATGAGCTGGCGTGATTTTCTGCGCGCAGCGACGTTACATCTTCCCTTTATTCAGCCCCGCAGCAGTACTGAAACGCCGTCCATAGCATTCCACAGAGCGGAAGCCAGGCTTGCCATCAGTATTCATGCCATATTTGAAGGAGTGCGAACTCGCAAGGAGAACTTGCTTTGAAATTACCCATTTCCAGACTGAGTGTCGCCTCCTTGCCTTTTGGGACTTGGCAAAACGGCGAAGAATGTCGGGTACTGCGTGCCAAGCGATTGTGAATCTCCCAATTGTCAAGATACAGGCAAGGCGAAAATCAGAAAGTACGCAAATACACATTCTTTTCTATGGACATCACATATTTTCAGATCCTGCTTTTCCCCTGCATTATGAACTGCTGTTCGCAGATACTGACCTTTGGTGTAACAAAGGACAAAATCATGGATTTATCCCCAGCGAGCATCTAGGATCCCATAAAGCTTCATATGTAGTGCACCCTGGGATCGCATCCTAAAATCTTTTGGGGGGCTCCCGGCAGATGTCTGCCAGGAGGTGTTGGTAAAGCGACGTTATCGAGCAAGCGTTCCTATCAACGTAGATATCGAGCGAGCACTTACATTCGTGACCATGAACGCCGTCTTAAAACACCGATTTTGTGGCAAGATACAGCGTTGCTTGCGTGATAACGACGTTTGACAGGTACTTGCTGGAGGGTCAACTCTTTGCAACATGTAACTGATAGTATATCCTTTTTACAGTACAAACAGAGCGTCGACAGTGTCCCTGAGCCTTGCCTCCAATGTCCAGCTTGCACTTACCCATCTCCAATTTGCGTCGTGGTCGACCTCGGCCACTCAGAGATCGAACTATCCGCTGTGGAGCCCCCGAGCCGGGTGCCTGATAAAGGGGAGATGTAGCTGGCCGTAGTGCTGAATCTCGGTCACAAGAGCCCACTGACAGGTCAGCTGGCCAAGCAGCGATGCGGTAGGACGTGGTAGATGCTGTAGATGCAAAAGGACGAGCTAGATGCAGTAGATGCAGTACGACGCGGTGCCCTGCTTCTGAATTCCTTAATGGCAGTCTGGGGCTGATGTGTGGATTTTAAAAATTGTGTTTTGCTGTTCACATGTGATCGCTATGAAGTGGAGCGGGTGGTGGTGTGATGGTTTTGAGAGCTTGTTTCCGTTATTTTCCGCAGATGATTTGCGTTCCGGCAATGTTGTTGGGGCATGTCCAACAATCACATGCCTATAAGTACCAAAACAAATGCCTACAACACAAGTCATCAATTTAACCTCTAAAGCCTAAATACCTTCAAATTGGTACTTTTTACTTTGTGGCAAAAGATGCTTTGGTACCCGGGCTTCGCCTGGTATCTCCCCCAGTGTATAATCAACAATACGTGCAGCAGATGAAGGAACAGTGTTGAGATGGGACGTGCCTTACACGCGGCACGGTCGCCTACACCACGCGGTTTGTTTCAGGCTATCATCTGCTCTAGTTGCAAAGATCTGACACTATAAATATCCCTCAAGCCAACAGGTTGGTGGTTTTTTATGAGGTTCACGAGACATGGTGCAGCCCGGTAGGGCACAAGGTACATTGAGAGACGTACAGGCTGCCAGTGTGTGATGTCCTTTTTTCCAGACGTGTTGTCTGTTAAAACCCAATCGCTGCGACCACGGTTTGTCAAGATCTGGGCGCACTTCGGATCAGTGTTGCGCCCATTGTTTGCAATTTGCGAAGTTAACGTTCCCATGAAAATCGAACCGGAGGGGTTATATAGTTAAACATAGGTTATTACGGCCATTGCACAATAATGCAGGAAGATGAAGCTGGATCAAACATGTCCAAGCTCAAAATTATCCTTGTAGCTCGGAGAAGGCCCAGTCATTGCAGGCCGTTCGTAGTTGTTATGAACTAAAAACAGTTGGTACTCGTGCAATTTGCCGCCTGTTTTGTTTTTTTCCGTTCGAAAACCTCGTTGCCTACTTTTCAAACTCTCTCTCTGTCTCTCTCGTCTCTCTCTCTCTACTCTCTCTCGCTCTCTCTACTCTCTCTCTCTCTCTCTCTCTCTCACTCTCTTCTTCTCCTCTCTCTCTCTCTCCTCTCTCTCTCTCTCTCTCTCTCTCCCCTTCTCCTCTCTCTCTCTCCTCTCTCTCTCTCTCTCTCTCTCTCTCTCTTTCTCTCTCTCTCTCTCTCTCTCTTCTCTTCTCTCTCTCTCTCTCTCTCTCTCTCTCTCTCTCTCTCTCAGTCTCCTCACTCTCTTTTCTCCATCCTATCTATTCTTTTCCATTTGCCTTTCCACTCGCAAACTCGCTCGCAGCACGGTGCAGCAGTTTTCTTTGTCCAAAAGCTTTCATCCTTTGCGTAGATTCTAACCCACTCTCTTCCGCCTTCGCCCCGCAGCCTCGTTCCTTCCTCTTTGCCTTTCACCCCCTCCCCTTCCCCCAGTTAAAAGCTCTGCGTCTGTCGCAGTCCCACCTCCTCTGCGCCTCTCTCTCTCTCTCTCTCTCTCTCTCTCTCTCCTCTCTCTCTCTCTCTCTCTCTCTCTCTCTCGGCGGCCACGTTCCAGGGCGTCGGCTCGCCGCGTCCCATGACGCTGCTCCCGAGCCCCGCCCCGCCCCGCCGGCCGCCGACCGCGCGCTGCAGCGCCGCGCGCCTTTGTTGCACGCTGTTGCAAATCAATAGGCGGGCGGTTGAATGACCGGTCGGCGCGTGGCGGCGGCGGGCGGCCGTGCTCGGCGGCGTACCCGCGCCCGCCCGGGTCGACGTCCCGCTCTTACGCACACGCTCCCGTTACTGCATCGTGGATAGGACGGGCAACGGCGGGGGCTCTCAAATCCGAGCGAGCGCGGGCCGGTCGACGGCCGGCGCGGCCGAGGAGACCGACCGGCCGGAGGCGGTCCGGTTTGAAGCCCGCCGGCGGGCCGGAAGTGCGTGCGGGACACGCGCACGGCCGTCGCTTGTGCGGCAGGTCAACGGCGTGTCGACGGCCGCCGGGGGGGGGGGGGGGGGCGGCCGACGTGAGGCAGGCGGCGGCCGCTGACCCGGCGCGGCCGGAACTCGCACCAGCCAACCGGCAGGTGCGCCGCTGCGGCCCGCGTGTGCAAGGCAGAGCAGGATTCCGCAATGCAGGCGGTAGGATGACGCGGTGTGGTGCAGGAGGGCATAGTGATAAGTTATGGGACAAGGAGGCGCATCTTTAGCAGCTGTTATGAAATCCGCGTCTGGCATCCGCATTCGTGTTAGTATTCAGTGAGAGCGCCACCTTAGAATTACGCATGACTGAATAGGAGAGAATGCTGGATAGGTGCTATTCATAGCATGGAGAAGTGCATCATGCCAGTGAGAACCAGCTTTAGGCACAATTTGGCCCGATATCAACATATGCCAATTACTCATGACGAGGTAAGCTCACGGGAAAGTGTAAACTAAAATGAACACTGCCCGCCACCGTCACATATGTCCGCATCTAGCAAATCCAGCTTTGCAACTCATGTAATCTGTCCTTATGGTGCACTAAAAAATGCAGATAAAAACATTCTGTCCTTCATTTCCTGTCTTTCATTTTTACACAGTGAAGTTCTTCCGACCATTGTTGAGCAAGCCAACGGTTATACAACAGAGCCAAAGATTCGTCCGTGCTGAACATCACTCATCACGTCAATCATGCCTTATCAAAATGTGTAATTCATTGGCGAAGCTATTCCAAATCGCCAGAGTGGATGATTCTATCTGGCTTCTACTCACAAACCATTTGACTCTGGCATGATCTGCACACTCGTTTGTGAACGGAGCTGTATGACATTCTAAACTGGCATCACGCAAAATCTCTCCAGCGCAGCGGCAGAGCGCAGATCAACCGACTCGTTCGGCATAATCCGCGGTTCGGGTCGGACTGACGGCGGGGGCCAGCTCACGCCCCTCTGGCCGGATCATCCGCCGGTCCAGCCGCTCAGCCCCGCGGCACTCACCAGAAGAGGGCGCCGAGGCGTCCACCGCCATCGTACCTCTGGCAGCGGCCCAGAATGCCGTGCCAGTCCACGATGTCCCTGCGGCGGCCGCCGCCACCAGCCACCTCGGCCCAGCTGCGCGTGACGTCATCGCCGTGAGCCCTGCGGCACAGCTCGCAGGCCCAGGCGGCGGGGTCGTGCACTAGCACACGCGAGCCCCTCCAGCGCAGGTGGGCCAGGTAGGCGGTGGGCTCAGAGGCCAGCTGCACCATCCGCAGCGCCAGCTGGCGCGGCGCCAGCGCCAGCGCGTCCAGTACGGCGCCCGGTGGCGCCAGGCGCTGGTACGCCGCGCCCCCGAACACCACCGGCACCACGTCGTACCGCAGCACGTTGAAGAGCTTCTCCGTGGCGTAGTCAGCGCACAGACTGTTTTCGAAGGCCAGATAGAAGAAGTAGTCGCGTTCCAGCATGTTGTAGCAGTCGGGCGAAGCGGCGCCAGGCGTGCCGCACGTGAGCTCGCCGCACGCGCCGTAAACGTCCACGTGCACGTGGCGCTGCAGCTCGCGCACGTAGCTCATCCGTCCCCCGCCGGGCGCGCAGTTGGACACGAACCAGGCTACCAGCTTGGTCTTGCCGGCGACGCGGGCGGCGTCGGGCACCGGGCAGCGCCGCGCTCGGTGCCAGGGCGCGCGGAGGACGCACCGGTCTCCGTCCTGCTCGAATGCTGCGTGGGGCCGCCGCGCGTCCACCGGCGCCAGCGAGAAAGGCTGCACCGACACGTCGGACGTGGCCTGGTAGGAGACGGTCCAATCAAACAGACCGTCGGTCGGCCGCGCCTGCACGGCCGTCGGCACGTGCGGCGGCGGCTCGAGGTTCCAGAGTGCACGCCGCTGGCCCGCGCGCCGCGCCGGCAGCGCCGCCAGGTCGACGAAGAAGGCGTGGAAGACGACGACGTCGCTGTCATTGAGCCGCTCGCGCTGCGGCGTGAAGCGACAGGGCAGCGAGCAGCGCGGCTGGCGGAGCGCCGCCAGCGGGTAGGCGGCCTCGTACGGGAACCAGTCCATGGTCCAGAAGAGGACCAGTTTCTCCGGGAGGGAGGCGGCGCCGGGAGCGACACACAGCGGCCAGACGGCCAGCAGCGCGGCCAGCGCCGGCACCATGGTCACCAGGGGAGAGTCGACGCGATCGGCACGCTCACCGCTGACCTGCTGAGCTGCGGATGCTGATGGTCTGTCACGCTAACTTGTCTGTCACTTACCTCCGCTGTCGCTACTGCATGATGCTCTCTGGCAGTTCTCCTTCAGCCTCTGTCGCTATTTCGCTCCTCTCTTCCACTGGTTTTCTCTTCAAACTCTTACTTGCTCTCCCATTCTCGGCCTCCCACTTGCTCTCCCTCTCTCTCCCTCTCTCTCTCTCCCACCTCTCTCTCTTCTCCGCTGTCTACCCTCTCTCCCTCTCCCCTCTGCCCCTTGCCTCTATCTCTCTCTGTCCCCTTCTTTCCTTTTCTCTCCTCTCCCTCCCTCTACCTTTCGCTTATATCCCCGTATCTCTCCCCCCGCCGCTGTCTACCCCTCTCCCCCCTCACCGCCCGTCCTCCCGTCGTCGACGCCGTCGCGCGCGCTGTCGCAGCCACCTCTGTGACCCAGCCGTAATCAGGCCGTGACGAACGTCCGGAACATGTCCCGGACCAGTCCACAGAGACGGCACCCTGTTGGCATGATTGGTGGGGCTCTTCAACACTCGCAGATTTGCCCTGGTGCTCCTGTAACAAAGTCGCGTCAACAGTCTACTTTAATATAGCATGCTGTAGCGAAGGTTTTACTCGGGTGGACTGTTTGCATTGGTGTGCCTGGTTCCAAAAATGCAGCAAAATGGAAGCACAAGGTGGCGAAGTAAGCATAAAACGTGGCACTGCTACGGACAAAATACGATGATTACCCGTCGCACTGTAATGACATCCGGGCAAGATCGCATCACGGGCATGCCACGACCAGTGGAGATGACGTAGGAGGGCTTTATTCATACGGCTCGTTTAGCTACCTGCATCTACTCAAGAGGAGAGAGTCATGCTTGATGATCAGTTAAACTGATCCGGATGCAGCAAACGCGGATCACACTTCAGAAACAGACACGTTTTGAACGCCCCGAATCAAGAAAAGCTAAAGCTCGTGGCAATTACTATAATCGATCAGGAAATGCACTAAGTTGATGGTTTTCCGGCATTTCAAGGTAACAGCAAATGCATGAGCACCGGCCTCCAGCATTTTCCTGATAACGTCCACCGCTTGTCCGACAGTTAGTTTCTGATATGTAGTTCATGAAGCTTTGCGGCATTGCGGCATTCAACCAGCTCCTTCGATGCATGCCAGTCCGGCGACCGACGTTTGCTGTAGGGGTCAGCGTGAGGGAATGTCATGCTGCACCAGGAACTGAAATGTCACTTCTGTTGAACGATGGAAACGTGTTGTGTGCAGCCACCGGACAAGGTTGGTGTTCGGCTTACCGTCCAGCTGGCTAGCCGCTGATCAATGATGGAACGATGGAAACGTGTTGTGTGCAGCCACCGGACAAGGTTGGTGTTCGGCTTACCGTCCAGCTGGCTAGCCGCTGATCAATCGGCCAGCTAGCACAAGCAGCTTTCCCACCGCTGGCTAGCTAATGATCGATCGGCTAGCTAGCAAGACCGGCTATCCCGCCGCTGGCTAGCCGCAGATACAGCTAGAAAGTAGCGGGAAGGTTGGGAGTTGTTGAAAAATGCGCACACGGACTTTAATGGCAGATTTGGCAGGTGTCAATCCTCTCCATTAAAGGGCATGCTTCAAAATTGAAGAAATTGAAGCAAGCGTCAGATATCATGAAGCAAGCTCACGTATAACTATTGGTATATTTTTTAAGTGAAAAACTGCAAAAAAACGCACAATTTTCTGTTGAGTAAATATGCCTCTCAATGTGTCATGGTTTGACTACACCATAGTACCTCGCACAACATTGATTGACAGCCAGTTGACGGCCGTTATATCTGGAAATCGCGCTCACGAACGCCAGATATGAGTGCATCGAACTTTTGTGACATATGGAATGGCTACATGGCTTATGGAACAGCAAGATTTGACTGGTATTATTATGACATCATAAATGCCAAGGTGACCTGAAAATACTCTCCTCGATATACCTTTCTCCGTTTTGGCGGGCGTGTACCTCGGAAGCCAGAGGGGGTTAGGTCTTCAGAAGGGCAGGATTCTGAACAACACCGAAAGGTCTTCAAGATGGCTGTTCCGGTTCCAAACCCCATGTGAATGTAAAGCACTTCCTTTAAATGCTAGGCCAGCATTGCAGATTACTACGCATTCCGAATTGATTAAACGGCTTATTTTTTAGATTATTGAACGTCTGTTAACTTTTAGTTATGATTAAAACACCTATACTATTATCCTATTGGAAAATCTCTAGATATACCTGGACACGGATTTGGATTGGTGGAAGAAGACAAACAGGAGGAAAAATAAAGCAACCAACCGCTTGCCGTTCAGAGAAGTTCTGAATTTGTTACATTGTATGGCTATTTTATCAATATTCGGTATTCTGCAGGGTGGCGAGATGACACCCAAGCAACCCTCGGGCTGCTGTTCTGTCTGCAGACAGCCATGGCGAAACCTTTACAAATTTTTCAAGGCCTGGCACAACTTGGGAAACTGACCGGGATCCCGCCAAACCGGCTTTTCTGACAGCATGTCATATATCTCTTAAGTTAGTTAGCATATCTGAAACAATCGGTGACACCTTTTCTACTTTCCACCCAAAAGCCAAAGCGATTCCGGTACGCTGCATTAATTATAAGTCGTCAGCTGTTCATAAAATCGGTCAGCCACCTGTCCAGCGGTGCCGGATTGGCCAGCCGTCCACCCAAAAACCGGCTAGCGCAGCCAACACTGCAAAGAGCAAGTGAAAATCCTACACCGAACAACGCCAGATCATGTAACCACAGCTTCCCGTCGCGACGACTTCGCTCCAAACGGAACCAGTCGAGGCAAAACAGCGAAAAGGTGGAGAAAGTTGTCAAGCGCATGCCCTACCCATTGTCCAAGCGCTGACGCCTCATTCCTGGAACGAACCTACTCATTGCCACCGAGGTAGTGTTTCCACACATCACATCCCATCACATCATCACATATATGGACCCGACATCACACCGCTCGGGTCCCGTCCGCGGGCGGGTCCCAGGGCCGCCAGCTGCTCCAGCCTGACGCGGTGGAAGGGGCACCGGTCTGCCGTCTGCCCCGTCCGTGGGCGGGTCACCGGGGCCGCCAGCTGCTCTGGCCTAACGCGGTGGGAGGGGCGCCGGTCTGCCGTCTGCCGGTCTGCCGTCCGTCCATGGGCACCGGTCTGCCGTCCGTGGGCGGGTCACCGGGGCCGCCAGCTGCTCCGGCCTGACGCGGTGGAAGGGGCGCCGGGGTCGCCAGCCATGTCGGCCCCGCCCACCCGGCTGGCCAGAGCGGAGTTCATCAGCGTTTGACAGTCAGGAGCTCGTACCAACAGAGCCGGTTATTAGGGTGCGAGCTGTGAGCAGGCTGCCGAGGCCGTTTGACATATACCACGCTGTGTAATGCCACCGCGTCGCCGTGCCACAGCGGACGCAAACTGCCACCTTCAGACGGCCCCCGCTCCAAGGGCAGAGAGCGACAACATGACGGCGTATAAACACATGACACGAGACGGATGCTGGGCTCAAGAGGGTCTTCTAGTGAACCCGATGACTGGGTATTTCCCTGTTGCTGTAGCGTCGGTCGCTGCACGCCGCGCACGTCAGCATACGCTATCGTGCGATCAAACGGTAAGTCCGAGCATACACAGCGCGACTCGACGATCAGCTTACATCCCGCGACGGGCGTACAGCCGCTGCGCGGTACGTCCGTCATGGCGACGATGATGGCGGTGGGGGGCAATAGGAATTAATGCTCCCCGCTCATGGAAACACGTGTCGTCCACTGATCCCGGGCGCGGGATCAGTGCTGCAGTGGTCTGCATGGCGGTTATACCGAGGCCGGGGCTGATGTGATAATTGTACACAGCCTCCTGACCGAGGGTTTTGTATTATTTTATGCCTGGAAGCTGACAAGCAGACGTGGTGCCGCTGGGAGACGGCAAAGCATCGGAAGACATTCAAATCAAATGTGTTGTTCAGTCAGATCTTAGAATCGTTTCTTGATTCGGGCCAAACGGCGTGGTTGATTCTGTCTAATCTGCGTGGCATGATTTAGATCATAGCATGGGTCGAATAAATGCGAATGTTCCCAACACTACAGCATACAACATTCTTATGATTTCGTTGAGACACCAGCCGTACCCAACAGCTGAACCGCTTGGGAACTTACGAACAGTGCAAACAAATAGCCCAGATCTTTTTGGGTGGATAGATTTTCGGGATGAGAGTTCGATCGCTTTAGAATTATTTGTATCCCAATGCATTTAACACAACTTTTCACGGGCCCATATTACGTGGAAAAAGCTGTTCACATTTTTGTACAGACCAAGCGTCCGCCCATGATTACAAATCTATGGGATGAGTACATCTCAGCGTAGTGTAAACATCTGTGAAGGCTCTGGCCACTCCTCCTGCTCAAGTGCCCTACCCACCTGTCATACTATCGTCATGAACCACGGCGCTCAAGGCCAAGGTTCAGCAGGCTGTTATCATTAGCTAAACGAATCCAATTAAACTTAAATGACGTGCCATATTTTTCATGCACCGTGTCGTACGTTGTCATCTGTTGTTGAAATCTTTCGAATCTGCAGCGACATTTACAGACGACCTTACTTCATGCTAATCCAGGTGAAGTCAGTGTTGAATCAGTCAACTGAAGCTGCAAGAACCGAAATCAATCTGCTTATGAATTACACCGAAAACTTGGAATTCGGACCAAGGCAAATTCATAGATAATTACGGGGATTTTTTAATCGGTTCCGAACGTCAATCAAATCAAGCACACGTGTGACAAC